CCCCCCCCTTTCCTGAACCTCATGGCCCTGCAGAATTTATACTAAGTATCAAAATCCTGTTGTTTCATCTTCAGCAAAGCACATGGTCTGAACCCAGTATTTAAAAAGGCTAATTGTTCTTCTGAGATTATTCTGATGCTTCCAAGATTCTGGTCATTTAGACAGCGTTCTTAAAAAAAAGACACTCAGCGTGGGCAGTTACTCGCCTAATGTTCCAGAACATTCTCCCCAAGTCCTTTGTCGGCCATTGAAAGAGATTTATTGAAGCTTCTGGTCCTTTCTTGCAATAAACATGAGCAATCACAGATAGTCAGGAGTCTGCGGGTCTTCAGAATGTCTCCACCCACAAAGACCATGGACTCTGTCCTATGGCTTAGACACCAGGCAAAGCCAGCGGGTCTCGTAACTCAATCTAACCACGGTGTGTAGAGGTGACTCTCTGAAGCCTGAATGTCCGAGGCCTGACCAGATCTTTAACGTGCAGCTCTGCGGCCAAAATATTTCCCTCACGCACGCAATGAGAGGCCATTTCCAGACTCATCATACGAAACAACAAAGAGAATAAGTGCAGCTGGTTCCCCTCAGTTGCCTGGCATTTTACACCCCGCAGACTTACTCTGTATCTGCTCAACTAGAGGTCAGCTTACACAAGATCCATCCCTAATTACTCATGAGGATATTTAAGTAAATAATTTACACAATACAGCAATACTCTAAAAGAGTTGGTCCTTTGTTGCTCATATCCTCCTTCATGCTTTACTCTGGAAGTTACATGAGACCTACCAGCCTCGAACATCATGTGACTTGTGCGGAGCCCTTTTTTGTGCTCCTAAGACTTGCTACTTGAACACGGAGATCCCTACTTTGTTCTTTGCAAGTTTTTTGCTCTCTAAACATGAGAGATTAGAGCACGTCATGCTTCTGCACTTTTCAGCCGGCTCTGTGGTCGTCGTATTTGTACAGGGAAAAGTTAAATTGTTCTGCGATGATAAACATTATTTAAAATCACGTCGCCGTTCGGCATTAAGATTAAGCACGCACGTTTTAAACACCATTTACCGCACTCCGCCTCGAATGTTTATTTCATTGCCTCTTTGTTTCAGATAGTTACTCAAGACCGACTTCTATCGGCCGTAAACATTTAACACGTAACATATGCTGCGTTGTCATTAGCAAGCACTCAACAGCCATTAAATTATGGGAGCGTTTTATACGAGAGCAGAGACCCGCTCCTATAGCTCAGACTCCATCCTTGGTTAGACCAGTGTCATCTGGCTCTTGTAATCCGCCAGTTTATGGTGCTGGAACATAACCAGTACGTTTTCGCTGGGGTCCACATAGCTGCCTCAGCTGGTCAGGCACTTCTCGTGGGCCCCTGGTGAAACCTCCGTGTCCCGGGCTGTCAGCAGTGAGGAATGGGCCGTGCCCCGGCTCAGCAGGAACAGCGTATCTCTCCTGTAGAATGCGTCGTCTTCTCTGTCGGGGCTACAGGGAACATGCATCTTTTTCGGTAACCTTGTCTGTCTGGTCATGATGAATATGTAGAAATATCGCATGAAAAAATAAAGCCCCTTTCCCTTTCTTCCCCATCACCATGGTGACTCAGCTTGTCCGTTCAATATTTAAACGTTTCGCAATGTCGCTTAATTCTGCAACGGGCTGATCTGTTCCAGAACTCCAATCAGTTCCAGAACCGGTCTGGACATTACATACCCAGCAGTTCTTGTGTTCTGGTGTCGCCTTGTCATGGATCATAGGTCTTCTCAATGAGCTTCTCATTAAAACTGTTCTTGTTAGTCATTTTCACCTGGAATGAAAATGTGATTTCTTTTTCCCAAGGTCTTTGTTCCCAGAAATCCTCATGTCTCACAGTAACATGATCCTGACATGAATGCGTAACACAATAAATTTAGGCCTTGTCCATGCTTGCGCAAGGGTTTTTTACTCCTTCCATGTTGTCCCGGGAGATCATCGCAGATGGGATGAAAATTATAGCGACTCTTTGAACCTTCTCAAAAACGCACAACTGAGCAAGTACTCTTGCGAAGCTGGGAAGCATATTAAAAACTGCATGATGATGCTGTTGAGTTTTTGTCAACGTTTTTAAGTCTGACATTCGATGTTTAATAAACCTTTTTTAGTGTGTAATGCATAAACACTTCATTCAGTCTGAAAAATCACGTTATTATGACCTTAGCATGAAAATCAGGTAAGTATGACTGATGACTTTAGCCAACGTTCTGGATTTGGTACTAGTCACGGCCTTGTCTCGTCCTGTACTGTTCCTCTCTAATAATAAACGCATGGTCCCCCAGCACAGAATCCTGGGACTGATCCACGTTATAGATACAGACGCTCCCCGATTACGATGGTCCGTGTTACGATATATTGACTTTACAATGGGTATGATTATTCCATAAATTTCATGCGATGTTGAGCGCTTTATTGTAAAACAGGCTTCGTGTTAATGATTTGGCCCAACTGTACTAATGTAAGTGTTCCGAGCATATTTGTAAGGTAGGCTAGGCTATGATTTTTGTTAGGGTAGGTGTACTGTATTAAAATGCGTTTCTGCCTTATGATATTTTCACCTTTCGACAGGTCTATCGGAACGTAACCTCGCCGTAACCTGGGCAGCATCTGTATTTAGACATGGGTCAGGCATTCGATGTTTTAAAGAGAATTCTGTGCAGCTGAATCGACGCAGGAATGGGTTACTCCAGTGTGGTGCTGGCCCTAAGCTCGTATACTGAATTTAGCTGTGCGTGTGTCACATGTGAGTGTTTCTGGGTCAGCTGACTTGTACCAGATGGGTGTTTCCTGTCTGTTTGATGGCGACTCGGACACCTGTGAGCCACTGACCTTGCCGTGTGTCTAACCCCCCCCCCCCCGGACCCCGCCTCCCCCAGACATGCCCCTGCAGGTGCGGCGGAGCAGCGACCCCGCCCTCGCCGTCCTCAGCGCCTCCTTCCGTGACTCCCGGCCTGTGCGGGGCGAGCCATCCCGTCAGCAGCCCGCGCGCTGGTCCACCACGGTCGGCTTCCTCAAGCCGCGCACGTCTCCCGGGGCGGCCGACAGCCTGGACTGCAGGGTAACGACTCCTGGCGTCTCCGTAGTGGTCATGTGATCGATGTTGTACGCATGCAGTGAAACCAGATATCTAATATCAAAAAGAGGGCGTATGGACAATGGAACCAAAACTGCTTAGTGGCTCAACAGTTGTGTCATACAGATGGTTTTATTTTTCCCACAGTCTAGCAATTAAAAACCCATAAGACCTGCACCTATCATATATAACACGTCTTGAAAAGCAGTGTGCTGAATTATATAAGACACTAAATATACACCATGCCAGCGACTGACATGCCTACGTGTCTAAAGCAATGGAGGAATTCTTTGAAGTCGTCTTTTCCTTTGATTTTTTTATTGTTACCTTTAAGAAGGTTCTTCCCCCCCCCCCCCCTAGTTTTTTTCTTCCTCTAGTTCTAGAATCTTCCATGTTATTATTCACGTGTGAAATGACACTAGGCCGGGAAGCTGCTGGCCTTGACTTCTTGCCGGTACGCAAATGAAAAAGGACCCAATTAACCCATCAAAATGGCTACCCCCTGATATCGATGGCAAGCCTTCGGCGCTATGGCAACGACATCATTCCCACCAGTCACTGAGGGGAACATGGCAGCGCTGAGCACTGATTCATTTGCCGATTGCTATATAACTACACAATTGCACATATCATGTTGTTGTTTACACAATTTGGTTATTTTGTTAGGGAAAGACGATGTTATTTTCAGAATTCTTTATTAATGGTACTGGTGACCTCTTAAAGACATGAAGGGAAAAATTGCCCTATTTGACGGCTACTTTATACTTTTATTTTACATTTCATTTCTTTTATTTCTTTCATTCTGTGGACAGCCTTTATCCAAAAGAATCAGGACTGCGCAGCTGTAGAAATTTGTAGAATGCAAACCCTGTAAAATGGTTCCTTTGCCTCTCTGTTTAAACAGTCATGCCCAAGCAAACCGAGATCTTTAACAGAGCATGTAATAAAATCATGTAGTCCGACTAAAAATATGCTTGCCATCTCTAGAGGAAATACAGAAAGAATTAGTCAGTTCTCTTCCTTTTACAGAGTTGCCCTCAACAAAGCATCGATGTTCTCAGTCCCCTGTTCCCTGATTAATAACCTGGGCTTGTGTATTTTTTGTTACTGCATGACCGATGTTGCTAATGCTGATCTGACTGGATGTAAATTGTCACGCTGTGAGTTCTGGGAGAGTAAGCGCCCCGCGGAATGGAACTACAATGGTGTAACCTGCCTCTCATTTTTGGGTGTTACTGAGTTCAGTCCAAGAACATGTTCCTGTAGGTTTATGGGTGTTTAGCCAGAACGTGGCAGAATGACCCCTCACGGCATAGCGGGCCTTGTTCCCCGAGAACATAAGAGTTATTTTGTGTTGCTGAGTATAATCCCAGCATTCGTCGCAATGTCTGAATGGGGGTAAGGTGGGAGATTGTCATCTCTCTGTGAAACTCCACTGAAGTTCTCCGTCGGTCCTAAAAAATGGAGGGTCACCGGTGTCGTCATGGAGCCGTGTCGTTGGTGGCAGGGCCGTACCCTGGAAACTTACCGCAGCCTGCCCCGGGATGCTGGCTCCTGGGTGCCCCCGAGGGCCTTCCAGAGGGACGACACCCGCTCGTCCGTCAGCACCAGCCAAGCCGTGGTGGACCCCTGGGTGGAGCGCAAGGAGCAGGTAGACCACGCGCCTGCTCTGCATGTACCCGGCGTCTGCAGGGAAACAGTGCCACACTCCAGCCTGTTTTCACTGTGACATGGTACCGAAATGGGGTTTGGAAGGCTAGCATAATATTGGGAAACTTTCAGATTGAAATGGTCCGAAGTAATTGCCTGTTAGCATTGCATGCTAACCACCCCAAATATGGTATATGCTATTTATCTGCCATTAACGAAGTAATCACCATTTTTCTAGCTGCTTCTTCTGAGGAAGGCAGGCTGGTTTGCTGCTCTAGGGCAGTGTTTCCCAGTCCGGTCCTCGGGAACCCACAGCCGATGCGCGTTTTTGCTCCCTCCGTGCTCTCTGTCAGATAGGGAGCAGAAATGTGGACTATCTGGGAAGGAGCAAAAAATGTGGACTGTCTGTAAGTCCCTGACGACCAGATGGAGAAACACTGCTCTAAGTGCAAAATCTGTCCTCAGAAAGTTGAGGACGGAGCCTGAAGCTGCAACTCCCCGATCCATTGCCATCGCTCTCGACACGCTCGGCCACTTCTCTGCACGTCGAGCCAAACAGCCCGCAGAGGCTTTCCTGTGATAGGCCGGCTGCTCGCTGCTAGCGACAAGACTGGAATCCCGGCCCCACGCGGCCCTTAAACAGGCTGCGGCTGGTTATGCCGTAAGGTTTATGGTTATTTTGGGCTCTGTCATGGGGCTGTCTGGTCAGACTAGCTTAGTGTTCTGTAGCTGTGTAGAAGTAGTTACTAATGTTGACCAATATGTCGTTTCCTGTGAAGTCGCCAAGTTTCTTTCTCCAGGGGAACGGTCTGAAATCTTTCTGCTGTAAAGGAAATGGCTCTACTTAAGGCCCTTCATAGTGACTCGGTGTAACTTATCGGAGACGTTTCTGTGGCTATCTAATGTTTACCATTTGTCATGACAGTTATAGGATCCTGTTCTGCTTTAAGTATTTATAATGTAATCATTATGACACTTGAACATTTTTCCCTTCCTGTGTGTTTTACATTATGGAGAATGCATGTAGGTCTCGCAGTGTGTTGGGGTTCAGGGAATGGCCAGGGAATGATGGGAAAGAGGAAGAGGTCACACGTTAGTCTGTGTGCCCGGCAGAACCATGAGACGTGGGGACTTTGCGGGAAGGAAGGGGTTTATTTACAAAAACTGGGGACAGAGTAGGACTGAGCTAACATGACACAAATGGAAACAAGGACCTGACTTCACAGATGGGAAAGTTAGAGAAAAAATAAACTCAAAGCCGGGCTGAGCTGGGTGAGTGATCGCTGGGATGAAGATTAGAGAACTTGGGGAGGCTGTCACTCCATATCTGGGTTTCTCGGGTGGAGTGAAACCCCACACTAAAATACTCACATATTGACGTGAATTAGGGACAGGCAGATCTGTTCAGTGGCATTAATTCCAGTCATCTGACACCCCCTTAAAAAATTAATCATGCTAGTCCTCAAACATTGAATATATCCCCCTTTTCATGTATGATAAAAACCAGTACTGGCCCGTAGATGTGTGGGATTCTGGGGAAATGTTCTACTTCCCGTTTCAATGGCGGAGACTCTTCACCACCTCATCCTTGTGTAGCAGACAGAGGTGACCGGTGTGTTGTCCTTCCCACATTCACTGTCTTTTTGGGTTAAACCGAAAGGGCATTTTCGCCTTCCAGGGGCCCCCAAGACATCAGGGAAATATCCCCCCCTCCACCCCACACACACACACACACACACACACACACACACACACACACACACACACAGAGA